ATTTATCTATTATTATTATTATATTTTTTGAAATACTTTGTTTTGAATTGTAAATAGGACTTAACAAAAGGATAATCCCTTACTAAAAACAAGATTAACATTCATTGTTCACAATTAAGGAACACCAAATTCCTACAATTTTCATTGGTCGAGAGTACTTTCTTGATGTAAAAATGTAAAAAAACAAAATGTTTTTAAAAAACACCTTTACATTGAACTATTGCTAAAGGAAATTTATTATTTCAAGATGAGAAAATTAGAAACAGTTTCAGAATCAGTAAGAAAAAGATGAAGAGTAAATTCATTATTTGTACAGTACCGGAAAAAACAAACAAAAAACAATGACATGTCATTGGACAATGTTTATATGTAGGAGGATCTGGATGAGGGGTCTATCATTTCTGTATTCTTTAATTCTTTATGTCTTTTTTTCTCTATGCTTTATTCGTTTTGCCCATTACTCTCTATTCTTTTTATTTTAGCACCTCATTATTCTCTATTCTTTATTTTTAGGTCCATTTTTCTCTATTCTTTATATTTTTTCCCATTATTCTTTATTCTGTAAATCCCCATATACACCCTCATGTAGGACGTTTTGTAAAAGTAAATAAAACCATGGTGAGAAGATGGGGCTATTTGTTTCTTTATTTTCAATGAAATTATTTATAGAATATCTAATGGAAGATTTCGAATATAAAAAAAATAATCAACGAGTGACCGAACAACACATGCGTAGCGCATTAGTTGATTTTTAGTGTTGTTCAGTCACGAGTTGACTATTTTTCTTTATTTGAAATCTTCTATTAGTTATTCTTTATATTACATTGTCATTAGAATTTTTAATGAAAATAAAGTCGAAAATGCAATGAACTATATCTACGCATTCACAAGTCTTGACAACACCTGTATTTGTATGACGTATAGACATTTTTGTTTATAATGTAGAGCATGTTTTGAATTCATTTGATAGAACAAAATATTACCCCAAAAAAATGCCCAAATATGGTAGTCACATGACTTCCATTGTTGTCTTTAGAAATGGGGTCACTTCGGTGTCAGCTTTCCGAATGTGAAGATACATTAATTGTCAAAATGAGCATCTTGCGCGTTTAAATTGGTACCGTGTATCAATAGATCCACTAGCGGTCAGATAAACCTGAACTTCTATTTCTTAGAGTTCTCGAAACGTTGTGTCAGTGCGATCTAACCAAGGGGGGATAATATGTTTGTTAAACCGTTGACCCATGTCAATATTCCCATGAACCTGCGCTTTTAATTTGGTTTTAACCTGGGCAATTACTGTATCGTGAAAGTAATTCGATTACAACGTCTCAGACCGTACTGATCATGACCACTCCTATCAAAGCTCTTAGATTCTTTTGGGAATTGATACATTGTGAGTTAAGCCATGAACTTTTATCAATCTCAGTACAAAAGGGATGCCATGATGACGTCAACCACATGTCATTATGTTGCGTTGTTACCCATTGTTTCCAGTTATGGGTGTGTTCAGCGTTAACATCAATATCTGTTCCCGCTTCAATATTGTTGTTCTTGTACATAGGCAGAAGACTGTTATCGTTGGTTGCTGTCCGTCATAATTGTTGTATTATAAATCAGTTTGTTTGCTTCCTGTTTTTAACTATTATACCTTTGATAATTTGACTAAGGGGGTATAGAACACCAAGGGAGTTAACTCTTCAACAATCAACTGAACGTTTAAATCACTTAACATTACTAAAGAGATTCAAGCTTCTCAATGATCACAATTAGTGTTTGTCAAACTTCTATATTATATTAAATATTTCATATCATTGTGTGATTCAAATTTCTTGATTTTTTATAAGTCAAAGTCAATATTTTTACAACATTTTATGAAAATTAAACGAGCCAAATCTATTTTAGTCAAAGGGCTGGGTACCCACGTAATTAACATTACAATTGATACAAAATAAGATAACTAAGAATTAAAGAAACTGCGATAAAAGAGGTGAAGAACTCGTGAAGAGATTGGTTGAACTATTTGTTGGATAAAAGGAAACTGCAAATGATTTCCCTTTTTATTTAAGTATTAATACGGACTGTCTTAAATCGTCAATCGTAACTACTCGGCCATTCCCGCTACGCCTACAATATTAAGGTAGGCGTAGCGAAAATGGCCCAGTAGTTACGATTGTTAAATCGTAAACTTATCCTTCTATTTCTTCCATCTATTTGTTAATTTTTTATTCCAGTATTATTATTAATGTATCGAACATTTTGCAATACTGTAGCTTGAAAGGTTAAAAGGAAGTAAATAAATATGACGGGCGCCACATAGTTCTTATATCCAAGATAATAGCTACAAGTAAATTTATTTTCTGCTGCCCTGTTAATTAAAAAAGAAAATTGATATTTGTTACACGATAATTTAATCTAAGTACGTAAAAAGTGCATGAATCAAATAACAGTACATAATCAACCTTAATAAATAATACCATTCAATTTTATTTAATCATATCATTAAGTTTTTGTTTTATACATGAAGTTTTAAATGCCACAAGTTGACAAAATTGACCGAAAAACAATCTATATGCATGATTGTGTCGTTTTCCTTTAATATATAAAAGTACATGCAATATTTGTTAAATTTGTGTCGAAAGGTGCCAGAAACATCTGCGTTTGTATTTAAATAATTTGCAACGTTGACTGGTAATCTGTCAAGTGAATACTTGAGGGTCTAGGTGGGGTACTTCATTTTTGTATTCTTTTATTTTTTAAGCCATTTTACTCTATTCGTTATACTTTTTGCTCAATATTCTCTATTCTTTATATTCTAGAAACTCATTTTTCTCTATTCTTTATTTTTTTGGGTCCAGTTTTTTTCTATTCCTTATATTTATATATATATATGTATATACAAGTCTTAATTGAAAACAACGTTCAAACCTATGATTGCGTTGGATAAAAACCGCAATTTTTATACGTGTGCATGCAAAACACATTTCTTGGTAGAGGGGTCTAATTACAGCACAAACAACATTTTCCAAAAGACCAAAAAAGTGAAAAAGTATATTTTAACAAAACGCATTTGACAACAAATGTTCTTAAACCCTGCTGACTGCCATTGGCGATTGCCAAATAAACGGATCACCGATGTATTAAATGGATCTTAATTATAAATTTAATACTAAACAGAAATTAATAAACTTGCGGAAAAGATGGCATACCGCAAACAAAAGGTGCAAAGGTTTTTGTACACAATATCCGGATTTCGACAATTAATGTCTCTTCAGTGATGTTAGGAATCGAAACGGTATTTGGAAAGCCATACAATTTACTTCAATTAAGAATAGACTCTTGAATTTTGAGGAGTCAAAATAGGATGAACGGATCATATAAACCCGAAGGCAAATATAATACAAGCCCAAACGAAAAAATATAATCAAGTCTTAATTGAAAACAACGTTCAAACCTATGATTGCGTTGAATAAAACCGCAATTTTTATACGTGTGCATGCAAAACAAATTTCTTGTTAGAGGGGTCTAAATACAGCACAACAACATTTTCCAAAAGTCCAAAAAAGTGAAAAAGTATATTTTAACAAAACGCATTTGACTAATAGGTCGAACAACAAATGTTCTTAAACCCTGCTGACTGCCATTGGCGATTGCCAAATAAACGGATCACCGATGTAATAAATGGATCTTAATTATAAATTTAATACTAAACAGAAATTAATAAACTTGCGGAAAAGATGGCATACCGCAAACAAAAGGTGCAAAGGTTTTTGTACACCATATCCGGATTTCGACAATTAATGTCTCTTCAGTGATGTTAGGAATCGAAACGGTATTTGGAAAGCCATACAATTTATCTCAATTAAGAATAGACTCTTGAATTTTGAGGAGTCAAAATAGGATGAACGGATCATATAAACCCGAAGGCAAATATAATACAAGCCCAAACGAAAAAATATAATCAAGTCTTAATTGAAAACAACGTTCAAACCTATGATTGCGTTGGATAAAAACCGCAATTTTTATACGTGTGCATGCAAAACAAATTTCTTGTTAGAGGGGTCTAAATACAGCACAACAACATTTTCCAAAAGACCAAAAAAGTGAAAAAGTATATTTTAACAAAACGCATTTGACAACAAATGTTCTTAAACCCTGCTGACTGCCATTGGCGATTGCCAAATAAACGGATCACCGATGTATTAAATGGATCTTAATTATAAATTTAATACTAAACAGAAATTAATAAACTTGCGGAAAAGATGGCATACCGCAAACAAAAGGTGCAAAGGTTTTTGTACACAATATCCGGATTTCGACAATTAATGTCTCTTCAGTGATGTTAGGAATCGAAACGGTATTTGGAAAGCCATACAATTTACTTCAATTAAGAATAGACTCTTGAATTTTGAGGAGTCAAAATAGGATGAACGGATCATATAAACCCGAAGGCAAATATAATACAAGCCCAAACGAAAAAATATAATCAAGTCTTAATTGAAAACAACGTTCAAACCTATGATTGCGTTGAACAAAAACCGCAATTTTTATACGTGTGCATGCAAAACAAATTTCTTGTTAGAGGGGTCTAAATACAACACAACAACATTTTCCAAAAGACCAAAAAAGTGAAAAAGTATATTTTGACAAAACGCATTTGACTAACAGGTCGAACAACAAATGTTCTTAAACCCTGCTGACTGCCATTGGCGATTGCCAAATAAACGGATCACCGATATAATAAATGGATCTTAATTATAAATTTAATACTAAACAGAAAACAATAAACTTGCAGAAAAGATGGTATACCGCAAAAAAAAGGTGTAAAGGTTTTTGTACACCATATCCGGATATATATATATATATATATAAGTACGTCTGAACCAGTGACAACTCTGCAACAGATTTATCCATCGGATCACCAGCAGTGATGGTGATACATAGCTGTGTACATTCTGTCTGTATAATGGTCATATATATATGACCATTATTCCCTATTCTGTAAACTCCCATCAACACCCTCATACGTGTGCATTTGATTGACATTTCATGTCGTTTAAATTAAATAAACTGGCAGAGAAACCGTTAACTAGTATTGTAATATAAGTTGCATTTTTTCTTTTGATGTTTTAATGAAATAATTTGCTAAAAATAGTGTGTTGATCGAAAACCATGGTCTATTATCTTCAATTTGATGTTGTACCATACTTTGATAACTAAACACGTAAAATTAAACCCAACTAGAATATTAAAGAAAAGTAGGAGGAGCTTAGCTATGGTACAACATGCTCATTTTGATGTTATTCCATGGCTTAAGCTCCACCCCATTTTCTGAAATATATCCGCCTCTCAGCTATTTAGGAAATCTAACATTGAGTAACTGAGAGGGAACAAAATTGTTCAATATTAGTGTTGTCTTAAATGTTTGGTAATAATCAATGTTATCGATAGAGGAAAAAACATATCGATTAATGTTTTTTATTCATAATACGAAAATAAAGTTGTAACTTTCATTGGTATTTTTTTATAAATTTAAGCTCATTTAAAGGCCTGCTAAATAAAGAAGCCGTTTATACTAAAAGCTAAAAGGTAAAATCGATTGATTGTTGGTTGCTTAACGTTCAGTGGCAATTAAAAGGTAAATTGAAATAAAAAAACCTGTCAAATAAAAATCTTTGTACAATATCTTGAAAATTATCAATAAAACAAAACTTACCGTCAGTAGAATAATGTTTGATATCCTTGTCAGATACGGATTAAGAGGGCAAGGGACCCTACCCCTTTCCCCCTTCATGGATATACATATATGGTTAATTCAAAGACATTAACATGTTCCACTCCTAATGTAGCCTTGTTATCCCCTTTTATTTATATTACAAACTATATATACCACGTGTCTTACTCATTCACACATTTAAACAAACTCATCCTTCGGATTCGTTAGTTCAAATGTATTTGCTCGTAAGAACCATGGTATATATGGTACTTATACTACAGTCTATGGCGAAAACATAAGAACAAGATTTAATTTATTTTTCTCTAAAAGATATAAGGTGACGACTATTTCATTTTCTAGGAGAACAAGAGAATGTTTTGAAGACGGGATATTCGTTTTTCACTTGATGCAAACATTTGTTCTATCTAAAATAGATTAGGTTCACGATGTTTTTAAGTTTTACTAGTAAAACCAGACAGCTGTTTTCCATTCGTTTAAGTGTTTGAGCTTTTTATTATGCCATTTGATAAAAGACTTTTCGTTTTGAATTTTCCTTGGAGTTCGGAATTTTTGTTATTTTACTTTTTATATATATTAATGTAATGTGTATATTCATGATTATTTTTTATGTTGAGCTCAAATATTAGAGGGCACAAAAATAGTTTGTCCCGATCATAAGTAATTGGTTATTGCTACTTCAATACGCCTGTTGCATGTGGTTGCCAGTCATGGTATGAAGAAGAAGTATTTTCTATCTATGCTTTATCCTTGCTTTGAGGTTACTAACACTTAATTTTTTTTTTGTTACTTAATTCTGTATTCCGAATAGTTGGCATAGTCTATAACTTTTAGATAATACAATTTTATAACGTATTATGATTTTTACTAACTAAAAGCAAGCAACATTGATCCCCGACGATTGTGTTGTTTTGTGTTTAGCTCTTAAATTATCATTTATTTAGCTCTTAAAGTTTTGCATTGAGCGTACATGTACATTACGAGTACATGTGATTCTAAAATCATGTGTTATGCATATGAATCATATATTACACTACAGAGTTAGATATAAGATTCGCTAGTCTGGTTCCTGCACTTTCACAAATAAAACCCCCACTACATAATGCTTTCTCATAACATCGATGAGCTGATTGTGGGTCTCCAGAAATCTGATAACAAATTCCTAATAATGTATAGGAAGGGGACAGCAAATTTTCTACAACGAAATATCTTTGTTCTATTGTAACCAGCAGATCTTGTAAAGACTGTTGTCTGTTGTAAATATCATGTAAATGATGGTAACAGAAAAAACGCAAACAGTGTGACATCACAACGGGTGGTACTATTAGGCTCCGTTTTTGTACCTCGTATTGTAATTCGGTTGGTATCAATGCAGAGTTTTTAACAAAGTTTATATTCGAATAAGTTAATAATTTCATCCTTTCATTTAATGTCAAACTCCTACACGCAGCAATATTTTGGTAATTGATTATCTGCTGGGAATCATAACTGCTCACTAATAAAGATAACAATCCAGGTTCACACCGACTTAGAACATAATCCACAATTTTCAAAGCTGCGGTATATTGTTCTCTTAAGTAATAATATGATGCATAAAACAGCCAACCAGACACTGCATCTGACTTCGTACCATCGTGTAACATTTTACGGCGTAGATAATAATGAGTTTTGTTTGATTTATAAGAAAATAGCTTATGTCGAGGACAATGTTCATGATCAGATCCTAACAATACTTCCGACAAAGGAAAAGACTGTACAGAATGTTGGCTTGCGATACTATGATAAAATTTACAAATACCGTGTATAAAAGATGAAGATTCGGACATAAGCAGGTTGTTTATTCGTATTAAACATTCAAAACCGTCGTTGATATCCAGTATTATAACATCTCGGTTAACTCTAAAAAACAAAAGTTCTAATGTTGCAATCTGGCAAATAGAATTTGTGGCAATTGTCCAACTGATAAAATTATCAAGTATGTTTTCCAACCTCTCATCTCTAATCTTTATTAGGAACTCTAAAAGCTGTATATTGTTTGAAGAGGTTACTTTTCCTTTAAACATATTTTGTTCCGGAATAAAGAAGTTAGGACAATAACATTTATCAACCCATACAATAAGTTTATTGAGACAGAGCTTCAAGCATTGTGAGATTTTGTATACTTGAAACTGTTCTTTAGAACATTCTTCCGATACCCAGAATAATGCAGTCTTCAAAAAATACGAACATAATAAATCTTTTGTAGCCTCGTTTTTGTCTATTATTGTTTTCAATAAAAATTTCATTGCAGTGTAACACATGAACTGAGTATAATTAAAACTGTGAACTAGCTTCTTTTCTGCTAATGAAAATGATATTCTCCAGAATAATTCATTGTCAACATATTTTGGGCCAATAGGTACAAGTAAACATCCATCACTAATTACACTGTCAATCAAAGCTCCACCTGGCCACTGTCTTGATCTATGTCGATAGATCCAGCCTTTGGCTACAGAAGGCCATTCGTGCAATTGAAAACAAAAGGCTATATCTTGCACCATCTGTTTATCAGACACACACGGACCATGTATTGATATCTCGTACACTGAATGTTTGTTCAAAAAATAATTAAGACATCGACGATTCGATAAATAAGTTCCATTTTCTGTTTTTAAAAAGAATGTTGTGACGTTAACATAAACATCTTCCATTATCAATTTTAATTTTGTAAATCCATAATGTTGATTATCTCTTTCCATAAGTAATGTCAATTGCTGTTGAGGAAAGTAGATCTTTTTCAAATTTTGCACAATATGTACATCATTGTCCACTATCATGGCATCTCTATCGCTACCTGGCAAGTCTAACCCTTCTGCTAAACTTCCGCTTGTGATAAAGGTTAAATGATTAAGAGTTCTTTGTCGTAAAAGGTCAATTACCTTAATTATTTTTTGTCTCATTCTAATAATTTTTTCACTTTTCTGTGTATTGTGAAACTGGAGCTTCCTCTCTATGTTGTCTGTCGGAACCCTCATGCAATTTTCTCCTGTGATATATGAAAACAAAAGTTAACATGCAGAAGCAATTACAATACATTTTACGAAATATTTTCATTAAAATATGGAAATAAATTGGTATATTTCAAATATTTATTTTCTTATAAAGGAGAAGTCAATCTTAACGCCAATAATCTGGGTCGTGTAACGTGTTGTTAATATTGGCACACATATTAATAACTACCTTTGAACAGGGTAGCAGTTCTAGATGTTTTTATCCGTATTGTTTAAATTAGTCAATCATATGCACTTTGATTCGTTGTGTTGTATTTCGGTCACGTTGCATTTATAAATAAAAAAATATATACCTTTTAGTAAAATATGTTTGTACCTATCGCTGTATACAACAAATATATTTTGTCTTTTCTCTTGTCGTATTATATTTATTTTTTTTCGATTTTTGTGTTCACTAGTCTCTCTTCTTTTATCTTTGGTTTTCAATGCAATGTAAAAACCACACGTGACCTGGATAAAGGATCCTGTTTAATAACCGAGATATAGAGGAACATGTTTGTACAAGTCAGATGATCAATATATTTCATAGCTTTTTTTAAAAGTACTTGATCAAATGTAGGGGATAAAAGTTCATCTGACAAGTCAGGTCAGTGACCTAGTTCTAGACATATGATATAATTTAACTTGATTTGATCTGGATTTTGGTGTTAAAATGGTCGTTGAATTTCTAGTGGATTCTGAATTTTAACCCTATGCGTCTTCCTGGAAATAGTTACCACTTGTTGCCTATTCGACCTGTTTCGTGTTATTAACAACCTACCAGCAAATACTGTATATTATATCTTTTAGTCGTGACATGTTATTTTGCAATAAAAAATGAGGAAAATTTCTTATTATTTCTTCGTTTTTGTCGTGAAATTAACTAAATGTCTTTTTAATCCCGCAACTTAAATCAAGTTCATATTCAAAATAGAAAAATGAATTTTTCCTTGGAGATGTCATACCTTGCTCATCACAATTTTCCAAATAGTCTAGATATAGATCAGAAGTTTTGTCAGGATAGCGAATATTGAGAATCTGGTCTTGATGTTGTTTCCTTCGAACAAGGCAGGCCTTTAATTCTTTTTCAAATAGGTCGATTAAAGGTTTTATCAAATTATTTCGTAACACAAGCGTTCCATCAAAGGTTCTATGCAGACAAACACTATATTTTCCTTTGTCTTGGTAACTTCGTAGGCCATAGACATCCCAATAGGTTTTTTTCCTCATGTTAAAGACGTCAGTTCCATGATCAAATTCCTTGTTTTCTGAAACGTTATTAATGTTATCCATTTCAGAAATTTAATCTGCAATAAAACATTACCTATCAAATTATTAATATTCAATAAAACCCTTTATGTTTAAAAGTATATTAGGTGTGAATAGCGAGTATCATAAACTGTAATTCCCCTGCATTTTATACGTAAGAGCCCTTTCAAATGCAAAACGGTGATCAAATAAGGTAGCATTCCGTGACAGTTCCCCCAGTTACTTACAGCTAATAAGAAATTCCTTGATGAACAAAAACATGAATGGCCTGCCTGCAAACTTTATTTGGGTGTTTGTTCAAGCATTGTAATAAGAATCGACAAGTCTGTTTTTTGTGATATCCATTTGACGTGACTCTGTACTTATGTATCCCGTCATAATTTGAACGACAAAATTATTTTATATCTATTGGTGTGACGTCAAACGAGCGATTCTACGCCATGGCCAGTACTTAAAATCTTTCAATCCTTTATGGGGGGATTTTACATAGATAAATAAAATCGTATAATAAAAAAGCAAAATGAGGATGTTTAATTTGATGTATGCCCTTTTTGTGCTTCTTTCTTACATTTGTTTGTATTTATAGTGTTTAAGATGATAACACAATGTTGACTGCTGTACCCCTATTTTTGACATTTTTACCTATTGTGTATGTTTGTTTTGTTCACGCATCGTTGTCAATATAATGGAATTTGATGCGACTGTCATACAAGTGAGAGGTTTAGCTAGCTATAAACCCAGCTTCAATCCACCATTTTCTTCATAAGAAAATGCCTGTACCAAGTCAGGAATATGACAGTTTGATGTGTTTGAGCTTTTGATTTTGCCATTTGATTAGGGACTTTCCTTTTTGAATTTTCCTCGGAGTTCAGTATTTTTTTTATTTTACTTTTCACAAAGAACAAGCAAGCTATAAAGGGCCCCAAAATGAAAAGTGTATAACAGGAAAAAACCAACGGTTTAATCTATATAAAAAACGAGAAACACTTATGAACCACATCAACAAACGACAACCACTGAACAACAGGCTCCTGACTAAGGACAGGTGCATAAAAATGCAGCGGGTTAAAACGTTTTAACAGGCGCCGACCTTCACCTTAACCTGAGACATTTGTATAACATTACAACATAAAAAGACACACTATAAAATCTCAATTGAAACGGCTTAACTCGACCAACAAAAAAATTACACAAAAACAGTAAACATACACTGAACGAATAAGTTTGATCTATAACACAATATAAATACAATATTAATAAAAAAAAAATCTGTAAGAACAGTGTCAAAAAGACAGCTCTAACCTGGAACTAAATGGCGTTAAATAAAACAACGTACACACGTAAATTTAAATATAATAATTTTGTTGTTAGCAGTACTGAGTACGGAAGTAAACATATGTTACAAAATTAATAAATTTGTTGTTCACAGTTCGAGTACAGAATTGATATTTTATCGAAAAAGCTCTCCGGTTCACTGTTGACCTAACAGTATTGTGAGAAGTTAATCTGGAACAGGTCAGTCATTTTCTGGCATTGCACGGGAAAATTTGTGGATATCCACGTGCATTTTGTTTCACAGCCTGGCTGCAGAGGCATTGCCTCCTTTGATACAATTGTACAAAATGCTAAATGTAGTAGGATAATTTTGATAGGCTGCTGTAGAATTAATATTAGAAATACGATTTTTTAAGCACGTGGATATCCTAGAAGTAGGATTGTTTTTCAATTTCTTTCCATTGCATAATAACATGATTATATAAATAGGGGTATAGGAAAAATAAATAAGACCGGAGGTTGTAACATAGAATACGGATCACAATTACGGATTAAGAAATAATAGGCAAAGCAGAAAAAGAACTCTTACAAAAACTGTTATAAAATGCCAGACGAAAAGACTTTAGTAATACAAAACAGACATATAAAAAACACAGGGCAAAAACAGAGATTATAAGAAATCTAAGTAAAACCATAGCAGGGGGCAATAATTAAAATAGCAATCGTGGATGAGTATTTATACATCCCAACACCATAACAAATAAAGAACAAAGATATAATAAACATGTGATTATTTTTTCTTTGTTTTGTTTACACACTGTTTTCAATATTATGGAATTTGATGCGACTGTCATTCAATTGAGAGGTTTAGCTAGCTTTAAAACCAAGTTTAATCCACAATTTTCTACATAAGGAAATGCCTGTACCAAGTCGGGAATATGACAGTTGTTTTCCATTTGTTTAATGTGTTTGAGCTTTTGGTTTTGCCATTTGATAAGGGACTTTCCGAATTGAATTTTCAGTATTTTTGTTATTTTACTTTTTACTGCATAAGTATTCATTATTTTTGTTGTGTTAGTGTGTTTTGTTATTTTTCCTTTTGGTAGAATTATAAAAAAGCAATTGAATTTTTCGCCTTTAAAATATTGCTCGAAGGAGAGCACCTGTATATACTAGCAGTAGTTTCTAAATTAAAATATGACATTAAAATTCTATAATATGCTTTGAATACTCCATGATAGTGATTGCAGAACAGATTTCAAGGGTGTTTATAATAGATTTGCAGCAATCAAATCGTTTCAATATTATCAGCTCCGATAGGAAGTGTTTCACTACTGCATAATGTAAATTGCACATTTTATGTTTATTTTTGAAATTATGTGATGAGGGAAATTTTACCAAGAACAGCTTTAACCAGTTTGTATAGACCTCGTGAGGTATGTATGAGCTATTGTCACCATACGTGTCGTCTGTGTAACAAGTGATACGGTTTTTTTTATTAAAACTTACTTCCTTGGTAGCAATGCGCGGATTTCAAATAAACTTGGCCACAACAAGCGTTGATCGTGCGCACAATTTTAGTATGAAGCTCTTCCGCCTCATACAAAATTTGCTTTGGTCAACGTTTTTACACCCTAATAAAATAACCAGATGACTCATTCAATTCTTAATAAAAATAAAATGCTCCAAATTGTTTTCACTTCTGACACACCAAGTTTGAGTTGTAGCTTTTATATTGTCACAGCCTTACTATTTACATGTAATGTGCATATTCATTGTTCTTTTTATTTGTTGATGCTTTGAAAGACATTTTTAACAAATATCTAAGTAACAACCTTGCCATACGTTATCATTAATTTATCATTTTAATGACAATTTAAAGTGCTTCGTCTACATAAGCTTTAAGAATTTGTCATGCAGTACAAACATACATTTCTGACATTCTACTTTAAATTTTCTACGCACAACAACTACTAGTACAAGACTTTTCAACGAACTGTACAAATGAAGCACTCAATGAAGGCAACGTCCTATTGGAATTCGGATATCAGTCTTTAAACATCTATAGCTGAAATAATACAACGAGTTTGTCATTCGTTGTAACTATATTATAAAACACGGTATGCGTACTAGAAAACTAAATAAAATGTGACAGTGCTTTTTTGTGATTTTGTGTTGTTTAAAAGGCATAAAAGGTATTCATGTTACACAAATAATGTACAATCGTCTCAAAAACCGCTTCAATCTTTGTTTTATAAGCTTAATGTTGCAGCAATTCGTCTCTGAAAATTTAGATTTTGTTGTATGAGAAATTGACAGTTTACCTCAGACAGTTATGGCTGTTCTGTGTTTTTTTTTGTATTAAAGTTTTGAACGTTCCAAAACCTCGTCACTGTTGTTCCAGAAACATGTGTTGAAAGTGTAATCGGTTTCATGTGTGTAAATAACAATTACCTAAGGCAACATATCACCACGTGGAAAGCCACTAGTTTTTGAGATTTGAATTACAATTCCCGAATATTTTTTTATCTGTAAAAGGGGTTTAATGACGGATGTTTAAAGGTTAGAAGATACCCTGTTGCAAACAAACTTATATATTTGGGTTTGAAACATTATATAAATAGCACATAGCTTAGAGGGTGATAGAGCAGATTGTTACCCCGAGAAAACATTGTCAACTGAGGCGAAGCCAAGGTTGACAATGTCTTTTCGAGGGGTAACAATCTGCTCTATCACCCTCTCAGATATGTGTTATTTAATTAATTATACTGAATGTTCTGTTATTACTGTCGATTAAATTTCAAATTCAAAGTAATAAACTATGACGTCTTGTACATAACAATCATCCGTATTTAATAAAGCGCACACTTGATCAAGCGTCTCCGTGAAGGGTAATAGAGTATTTGCCATAGGATAGTCGTATTTGATAAAGCGCACACTTGATCAAGCGTCTCCGTGAAGGGTTATAGAGTAAATTAACACCCTTGTATTAGCCAATCAAAATATGGCATTTTTACGTGAAGTATAATAAAACAATTTGTTAATATTTCTACAGGTGGAATAGTTTTTCTGTAATTAGTTTGAAAGAAAAGGTTGCTAAAATCTAATCAAAATGTTTCCCTAATGTATGATATCTATATCCCTGTTTCAAATATTGCTCAGTAATGAAGCTATATCATACGTCATTTTAAACACACACATAAACCCAACTGATTACTTTTACTAATTAGAGGATGCATTCACAATGGTATATCCATTTCTAGCATCCTTATGTATTTATAAAGTTTAGATGTAGAAAAAATTATTGACTTTTTCAGCCTTCCATTTCATAATCTATTTTCTTAATTCTCGTGAGAAACCTCATGAGACCTACAGTGTGGATAAATGGTAAATAGGTAGGACCAATTTCATATGAATTTATTTATATCCTTTAACTTCAACATGCACATATCCATAGTCGATCACTTCTTATTGAACAATCGTTTTTCCTCAAATTAGCTGAGATATCTACCCTTTACCATACGATTTTAATTAAACAATATTAATTAAATCAATTATTCTACTTACCGTTTTAGTAAGTCAAAATAATAAAATTGTTCCAATAATTCATGATACTTTCCTCATTATATTTAAATATTTGTCCTCCCTACCTTTGGATTGTAATTCATATACGCTATTAATTAACAGTTAAAGCATCTTTAAATTGATTCTTTTGGGAAAGGAATGGTTTTACCAATGTGACAACTGAATGAGGCATAC